CAGTTACCTCCTTATTTCAGTGGTTCATTATAATTTAACAAAAAAGTGTGAAACTTTACCATAATTACCAGCAGCATTTAGCTATGGTATTATAGTTACAATCAAAACCACACTTCTCATTGGTATGTCGATTGAAAAGCTTGTAAGTCTATACAGTAATTTGCAGTTTCCAGTCAGTGAACAATGAACATGTTTGAGGATGTTAAATCGGGTTCAGCTTCAGGAAAGACCTTCTCATATATCATACCAGTGTGTAACAGAGAATTCTGTGTAGAATTCAGGGAAGGACGCTCATCAGGAGCAGGGGAATTTATACTGTGATCCAGATGACCACTCCATCCCTGATCATCACAAACAATGGACCATCCATCTCTACCAGCAGGGGCGGCGGCAGATAATTTTTAACGCTGGTGCTGAGGGTGCTAGATCATTGACAGGGGGAGCTGCGCAATTATATATATATAACATTGAATACTATTAATAAATTAGCTAAACTTGGCCACTCAATATTTAATATTCAATTATTTTAATCATCACAATTAAAGTTTTAATTTTATTAAATTGAACAAGCACAATATTCAGCATTCAATAAAATATTTTAAAGATGTATTATTACTAACAATGTTTTAATTTCAACATAATATCTCGTTATTTCGACATATGTGTGCGTGTCACAAGCAAGATGTGCATTTGTTAATCCGGTGACAGGGGTGCATTGATTTTTATTAATAAACTAGTGTTTTCTGTGTCAGTCTCGGCTGCAAAGATGAAGTTGACGATCGTCATCCTCGTAGACGTAGTGAACGCGCCTAAGAGAAATGCACATAATGGATTACATAATCAGAGAGTAGCCTATTTCTTTTCGTTTAAAGACATTTCAAGCTTTCTATAAATATATTTCTCATGTCTGTGAGGCATACGCTGAGTTTCAGTTAATTTATGATGAGATGCGCTCTTGAGCATGATATTTTATATAATGCTAGTAAGAGTGTTGTGTTGATTTGCAGAACGAAGGAGGACAGGAGTTTAAATCTTCCAACTTTTAAATTGTCTGATAAGGATCTTGCTGTGAGTGCGAAAGTGAAATATCTTGGTCATTTTATAACTGAGAACATGACAGATGATGAGGACATTGTACGGCAACGTCACGTTGTATATGCAGGCTAATATACTTTTGCGTAAGTTTGGTTCTTGTTCAGATAAAGTTAAGACATCACTGTTTAAACCATATTGTACACCACTTTATACTGCCCATTTGTGGACTAGTTAAAAAAAATCTAGTTTACAGTGGCTTCAAGTACAATGATGCAATGAGAATTTTATTAAGGAGACCTAGATGGCATAGTGCGAGTACAATGTTTGTAAGTGTGGGAGTTAACACATTTAAAGCTGTGTTACGGAATCTTATGTACGATTTGTCTGCCGACTTCTAAAAATGAGGTAATCATGGGCCTATCAAATATAAGGTTTAGCACTACATTATCAGTCTAAGTTGTGGAAACACCGGTACTTTTGTATTTTTGTAACGTATTGATGTATATATATAGTTTTTGTTTTTGTTGGTTAGGTGTTTTAAAAACTGAACCCTGAGTCTGTAATAAAGGTTTAATTAATTGATTGATTTATTTTTGTTTCTTCACCATGCGGTTCAGGGCTTCCATGGAATACAGCCTGAATAGCGCCGCCCATGCTTCAGGCTTTACAGTCTGTTAGTTCACTTCACCTCCCGATCTAAGCCGTTCGTTCATCAGACTGTAAAAAAGATTCGAGTCATTCATTCATTACGTGACAGCTCGAGTCGCTCATACATCATCGCACAGATCTGCTTCAGCAGTGCGTCTGACTGCACCGAGAGAGTTTGAAGTTTACATTTTGGGGGGAATCCTAGTGAGTCAGAAACAGCATTCCTTACTTTCACTTCATTTGTATTTTGCAGAATAGAAAATCTTTTTTGCCTACTTTTTTGTTGCATATTAGTCATATAGTCATTCTCAACGTTACATTTATGCTTTCTTCAAATGGGTTTTGTTACAGATTTTAGCGCAAACAACGCCGAACCTCGAGAAACGCCGAGAAAATGGGGGCAGAAAATGTAAGTCATATATATATTTTTCATTTAAAAGTTTGACACAGCTAACATAATTATGCAGCGTATGAACTTCATAAGTATTTCACATTATAATGCAGTTGTTGTTTTGATATAGCCTAATTAATCTGTCTGGGCTTGTTACACACACACTTAAGTTGTTTTGAACTTCAGATTGCAAACCGCATACCTCAACTATGAAGGTATTTTTGGTGCAAAAGAACTGAACGCCTGTGACAGGGAAATTTGTAGTTGTAGAAAATATCCACACATGTGTATCAGTACATTTGAAGTCACAGAGAGAAATGTTTTAAGAGTTGCAAACTTGTAGACTTTTTTTTTTCTCTTCCACAAACACAACACAACGGTTACACCTTCTCAAATTCTTCATTGCAGGTGCACAAATCCTATTCTACAAATCAAAAATTAAGAAACACGTACCCTCACATTTTTGCTACAGTTGCTGCAGTGAATATGGTGCTAAACGCATTTAAACACCTGCATCAAAAAATGTGAAAAATAAATTTTGCTCATCCGCAAATCAGTATGTGAATTCATCCAATGAGAGTTGCACACTTGTAGAATATTTTCTTACAAATGTCCTATATATTTTTCTAGCACAAACACAAGTACATAACTACAACTGCTTGAATCTGCTGCGACGAATCTCAAACACTGTTTTTCGCTTTCAATTGACAAGTTTTGTGAGCTCTCTCTTTTGCACCACTGGTCTATGTGAAATGTGGAGCAAAAGTGATTTGTGCATCTGTAGAGGCAGTGGGCGGAGCCTACTTGAATATTCATGAGTTTCCCACGGCATGCGCGTGGAACTGCTCATTTGAGTTCACCCAAGGGGATAATCCACCAGCCGGAAACTGAAGTCTCCCCGGGGGCCGCCATTGGCTAACAAGCCTTCACCTGCTGTTAGCATTCCATTGACTCCCATTCATTTTGGCGTCACTTTGACAGCGAATAATTTTACATCTGAGGCGTTTAAAGACTCCATTTGTCCATTGTTTATTTCTAAAGAAACACGACAATGTATAAAAGGATCCATTACCTTGTATCTCACTTACCCGTCTCCACTGGCGGCAGGGGGTGCGTGAGAAGGCGGATGACCGGGTCCTCGAACCGCACCAAGCTGCCTGCTGGCGATCAAGAGGGGGCTGAGGGGTGTATATGCAGGGTCACACATCGCCAGACTGGCCCTCTTGGGACCCCGGAATAGAGAAGTTTGCTCTTTTTCTGAAAATGTGGGTACCACTGGCCCCGCTTTTACGGGAGCCAACGGCGGAACAGACACACATAATAAAAAAGCTCCAACCGGCCCTCCAACCAGCTGGAGGGAGTGGATTGGTGGCCACTCCAAGAGCAACGTCTCCATCCCTGCGTTCACGGTCCGGACTACCCTCGTGCATGTTCATGAGTGCCTCTAGGGCTGGTTCGTGCAGAAAGCGGTTTTGCTTTGAAAAAAAAGGCTAACTCCTCCACCTAGAATTAGATAAAGAACAGACAAACATACTTATCTGCAACTTTATCATACACTTACACTTTGTTTGCCGTAATCAGAAATGATTCGCGCAAACATGAGAGCATTGACGTTGCTCGTGGGGAATATTCCCTTCGAAAACAAAACTCAGCCACTGCGTCTTCAGCGGTTCGGATTTAGGAACATTAAAATGACTGTGTTCGTTATTACACCCAAGAACAGAACACCACAATCGCTTAGACGCTATTCTGCTCATAGACAGTGATTGTGATTGTGATTGACTATGATTGACACCTCTCTCATGAGCGAGGGCTGGTCTGTGTTGAAACGCTGCTGTTAATCAACAGTCGTGGGAGGGGTGTCCAACCGTGTGACGTCACACGGTCGAACGGCTTGATTTGAGACGGGAAAACATATAAGGAGATTTAAAAAAAAAACACTGGATGGATTTTTATCATTATATGATGGTTGTGTACAGGCACTGCCAACACACATTTCAGTACAATCAACTTGTAAAAGTGCATGTACCATTATATGACCCCTTTAAGAATACACATATGACCCGCGAGCGGGCTGCATATGGAAGAACACTGGGGTGTCCAGCCCGCAGGGTGTAATGTTTCAACCCCAGGGGTGGCAAGATGGCTTGCCGAGGGAAAGACACACACTCAGAGAGGCTTACAGTGGAAATACACATGTTTACGTATGTTCAATAGAACTATACTTTTCTGAAACTCGTTGAACTAGTTTGATAACAAATTAACTTATAACCATAGTTGGCTAACGGTGCTTTCGTAATCGCATCACAGAGCAGTGGGAAGCCACTTTTGCTGTGGCGTCTTTGGAGTGATGGTTCGCTGGCTTGCTCTCATATCTACTCTTTAGCACAATGGTAACCACAAAAACTTCAACATTACAGAAACTATTTTACATGTCAAACATAACAACATTAAACACTAACAGGTCTTTACTTTCACTCAAATCAAAACCAATAAAATAACACTTAATTCAACATTTATACTCCTCCTTACCCAGTCCTATGCAAAGCATGTTGGGAATAGAAAGCCACTGCCTAATTTTCATTCTTTCTACAACGTAATTAAAAAAATTATAATAATCCAGAAATTTTTGTTAAAGTTGGTGGTGCTAAAAGGTATCGAATTGATAGATGTCTGAAACACACATGTAATTATTTATGCCCATCTCTGAATTTAGGGGATTCACTCCTGTTTAAATCCGGTTTTCACTTCTGAAACTTAGCCCACAGTGTTCCTGTGAACAGATAAAATCTATACGCTGAATTCAGTCTTCATTTACAGTGAATAAAACCATGCTTTTTCCAATGAATGAATGAAAATGTAAAAGAATCCAAGTTAAAAAAAAAGTGTACAAATACAATCTTAATGTTATATCATGCAGTCAAGTGAGAGCGGGAAAGAACGTCTTAAAAAAAGATCAATGGAATTGGATAAAAGATCGAAGGAAATGGATAAAAGAGCGGAGGAACTGGACAAAAGGGAGAAAGAACTGGAAAGAAGGGAGAAGGAACTGAAGAAGGCTGGAGGAATGAGTCTTTTGCGACGCAACAGTGGAGAATCAGAGGCACCTAACAGTAAGAATTATGGTTTTGATTCACATTTTGACTGATGCATGTGATGACAGTCAAATCTCAGTAAAAGCAAAAATGACTAAATAAGCAGAAAAAAACAGAAGATGTGTCCTTTGATGCATGAAAATCGTAAAAACTGTAAGAAACTGATAAACGAGGTGACGGTAGAGCCTTTGTGACCTTTGTTACATTTCCCCTACTCTGAGCTTTATGTTATGTTTAATAAAGCATCATCTTTATGTCCATTTTAAGTGTTTGTTTGATGCTCTTTAATGACAGATTGCGGTTGCTGGTATAATCAAACGGGAGATGAGCCTGATGCGGAACCATGTTCCTTCTTCTGTCAGAACACAGGTTTGATCTTCCTTCTGCTTTCTTCTTGTTTTGTTTCTGTTTTCCACGTGCGTTCGTGCACATCAGGAGTGTGTTTCCCGTACAATGACGTATCTCGCTGCTTCACAAGTACGATGCATTGTTGAAGAAATCAACTAGCTAGTCACGACTGTTTCCCGAAACCATACTGTCGCAAAGTGGTCGTTCAACCACGCTGGTTAGTGATGTCACGCAGATGGTGGAGTATTAACTTATTTTAATGAATCTGTTTGAGATTGAATTAATGCTAGATGTTTTGCTATAAATTACAGACATGGTATCTGAGGACTATTTCTCATTTTTCTCAGTTATTTTGCTCTATTTCCAGATTCAATCATACGCCCGTTCTTACGTACTAGAGCACGTTCGCACATGCGCACTCTTCAAAAACGGTGCTTTAAATCTCTTGACAAACTAAAAGACGTAAATGGCATTTGTGTGTATTCTAAATAAAAGATACAGATTGTACTAAATGTCAGCTTGCTTATTTGGCTCAAGATAAGATAAGGATTTATTGAGTCCACATGTCATGCAATCTAGAAACTCTGCTTCTAACCACAGGTCAAGAGCTGTCGTTCCAACCACACAACTTTGTGATGCTGTTTGGGAATGTTCGTTAGAACAATAGTTTCGGGAAACACCGACTCGTTGAACAGACTGATAACAACCGAACTTGCAACCATAGTTTGCTAACGATGCTTTCGAGAAACACACCCCAGTTTGTGTTTCAGCGCATCTGCTTGTTTGCGCTCACATGTCTCCCATGATTGCTTGATTTCTAAGCCATATCTACGCTTCCTTCCTCTTTGTTCTCTGCCAGCGTGTTCTGTGCTTTTTGCTGTTCACCTGCCGTTTTTTTCTTGTCTAGTTTTTATTTATTTATCTGACATGTTTTTTCTCTGCCCAGGTTGTGCTTCGATTCGCAGTCCCTCTACAGGATCCATTCTCACCAAACTGCTCTGTTGCTGTTGACCAGTTGGTCTGTGACTGGTGCTGGAGTTTGGATTTACCGATCGCCTCTCTCTCTGCATTGTTTTGTTGCCGTGAACATCTGCCTGTTTCCAATTGTGAGTTAGGATTTGCTTGTTGGTTCTGTTTGCCCCTCGCCTGACCATCCTGACACTGATTCCCGTCTCACGATCCGGATTTGATTTTGATTTTTCCTGGACTCTGCCTGATCATTCTCCTCTCAACCGTCCAAAACCTGATTTGCTGCTGTGAGGCTTGCACTGTCTTCATTATTATGCTTCAGTAAATTGTATCATCAAACAATATGGTAAAAACACTTATTCACTAATTTTACCGTCTGTAATCAATATCCTTCAGTTCATATCAACTGATTTTACCTTAATAACTAATGTATGACTTGTACTATGCTTAAGATAGAGCAGTGCGGGACAAGCTGTGGCCTCTCGTGAAGAAGGCAAGTGACAGACTTGCTGGATTATACTGATCTGGTCTCATACTATTTCTTAACTTTTATAAAGCTTTCGACTCTATAGAACACAAATTTCTTTTCCGTACTCTCGAGTTGTTTGGATTTGGTAAATCACTTATTGATACTGTAACCATGTTTTATAGAGGTATTAACAGCTCAGGGATCATTAACTTTGACACTTCTAAAAGGTTACGATTTAGCAAAAAATTAATAAATTCGTTCGAGTGAGGTCTTATGAATTTGTAGGGCTGAGCCAATATGGGCAGAACTCTTTACTGCCCTAGTACTTCAGAAATCCTTTTAAGGGTATAAATGTGAATTAAACATGGCACAATGGCCTTCATCATCACAGTGTATGCTAATGCCTATCTAGTGCAAGGGATTCATCAATATGCTGATTGAGGACTGTTGGGACACTCCAGGCACAGGATGGTTCTGTCGGGAGAGACAGAGTCCTCAATGACACGTCTGCACCACTTGCTTCACAGGACATATGCTTTCAACTACATACTGTTTATTTACTAGTGTGTTCTAATATGTAACTATGGCATGGTTGGTCTCATTTGACAGCTTATAAACTGAAATGAATGGTGGTGAACTTAATAGAGATATTAAAGTATCCTAATGTACAATCTAGGTACTATTGGTTAAACATGCATTGAGGAGAATATGTTGATGTTCTTCCCCCCCCCTCTTGATCACCACGCATTTGCCTCATCTTTTGTTTTCTTGTCGGTCGGTTTCGGTGTTGGTATTTATTCCACTCATGTTTAACAATGCTTTGCTCAGGGTATAAGAAGGAAAGGTAACTGTTGATCTGGGAGAAAAGCTTTAAGGCTCGTACACACCGGGACGAATATCGGCGCGCGTTATTCGCCAGCGTTTTTCAACGCGTTTTTTTGTGTTCACACCCAAGCGATTTTCGCTGACGATGAGCCGAGTGAACATGCACATTCATTCCCTGACATTAGATGGCGCTTAATGTAAAACAGAAGTAGTCCTATTTTGTAGTCGCTGTCGCGTTTGTCATATAGTCATATATGACAAATATATAGTCATATGTCATATAGTGTCATATATCTTCCTCGTCTTATTTCTTCCCGGCAGTGTAGACGCTACTTGGCGTATATCTTCTTCGCCGTTACGTATGTGTGCTCGGCAAGACCGTTCTGTGTTTGAGCGCCCCCAAGTTGTGTTTTACTGTCACTTTAGAAGCTCCAGACACGTGAGCAAAAGCGCCAATCTCATTGGTCGGACAGTTTTTGACGCGGCGCGTCGAACCAAAAAAACGAACCCGAGGCGTTTTTTAAAAAATGAACCTTTTACGCGTGGCGTTTTTCGTGTCGGTGTGCACACTCAGATTGGCGCCCATTGTTTAGTCACGAGGCGTTAAACATCAGCGAATATCGCGCGCGAAATTCGTCCCGGTGTGAACAGGGCTTTAACTCTGCACTCCCGCACACCGGTGCGTAACCTCATACTACGATTAAGGCTTTTACGGCCTCCTCTGAACAACAGTGCATTATTTGTTACAACTAAGTTTCCTATACAGTATTTTGTTCCAGTCTACTGTCTGTATATTTAAATATGTGACTTAATAAATAACTTTGCCTGCTTTAAAGGCTTCGAGGATCTTTCCTTTTATCACTGGTGAAGTTGAAATCAGATTATAACTTTCGTTATCTAAACGTTCAGGTTAAATCCTACGTTTTCCTATCAGTTCTTAGAAAGACCTTTACCTTTAAAGAAAAATGTTCCCCTGTAATTTACAGTAAACTACAGGCAGCTAGATTTACCTGTAGAATGCTGTAATTTTACAGTGGACCTGCTGTAATCTGAAACAAGTTTATTACTGTAAAAATGTCCCTGTTAATTTACAGTAAACTACAGGCAGCTAGATTTACCTGTAGAATGCTGTAATCTGAAATAACAGTTTATTACTGTAAAAAATATTACAGTATTGTGCTGTAGAAAATATAGGCTGCACAGTATAATACTGTCAGGTGTTCGGCTGCCGTTATATTAGTGTTCCTGCTGTAATCTTCATAAACTGTGTATTACTATAAAGTGTATTAAAGTACTCTAAAATGTGATCTTTACATTGTAACACTACTAGAATCTGACCATTTAAAATTTGCATTCTGAACTAAAAAAGAGATGGAAAATTGCTTGCAAACAAATGGCTCAAACAAAAGATGACCTTAAAACATGCTTTTATTAAAGCTAATAACATATCAAATCTTCATTGAATCACAATGCTCTGACTTCACCTGATTAAATAAAGCCCCACTCAAAGTTGAATGAGGCCACATGCAAATTCACAGTGGTTGCCTTTCTCTGGACAAGCTTCCCCATCTTCTTGGACACCAGCTTTGCCTGGCTAGCTTTTGTTCCTCTCTCGGGGTTCACACCAACAAAGCGTCTACAATGTAATTACAGAGAAATATAATATATTAGGTGAGATAAGTAAAGATTAATTGCACTTTAGACATACAAAACCCATTGCATTCACCATATAAATATTCTAGGTTGTTGCCATTATGGCAGTATTTGGCTTGCATCATGTTTAGTTTAAGTTTGATCTGAGGCATGGAGACCTGAGTATTTTAGAGTAATGAAGACAGCATTATATAACTTTGTCAGTAGTGTTAAAGGGAGAAAAAAAATGAAAATGCTGTCATCAAAAAGAAAAAGAAAGAGTTTCTTTCTTCTGTTGAACACAAAAGAAGATATGTTAAAGAATGCTGGTAACCAGACAGTTGACAGTTGACCATAGTTGGAACAAAAAAATACTATGGAAGTCAATGGGTGCAGTAAACTGTCTGGTTGCCAACATTCTTTTACAGAAGAAAGAAACTCATACAGGTTTGGAACAACATGATGGTGAGATAATGAAAATTTGGTGAAATCCCTTTAAAGGGACAATGTGTACTTTTTTATGTATTTTATTATTTAAAATAAAAAAATGTATTCATAAATATGTCCTCAATGGTGTACAAATACCTCTGCCAATTATCTGACTTATCCTCGTAAACGAAGAATTTATTATCTTTATATTTTCATTACATTTCCACAACGCGTTTTCGTTTAGAGCCAGCGTGACGCTTCACTGCCCCGGCAAGTTTAAAAGGCTGCATTGCACTGTTATTTCCATACATATGCCGAGCTACAGGAGAAGAAATCCTCGTCGCCAAAAATGTCCAAAGTGGAACGTAAAAGGAAACGTGACCGGAGATTACAAAAAACAAGAGTTAATGTATAACAAACCTGGAGGAAGGAAGGAACTTGACGAAGTGCTATTAGAAGACATGATGTCATAGCTTTTTGGAACATAATGGCTACCGTAGATGCAACGCGCATTTGAAAAAGCGAGGCTGGAGAGCACAATTCGTTTGAATGCAAAATACATTTTCACCGCTAGATGGGAGAAATTCCTACACACTGTCCCTTTAAGCAGATGGATTTTTAGGACTTTGGTCTGAAAATTTTAAGATAACTTACAATGCTACACTTAAATGAGTACAGAACTGTACTTTAAATGTAAAATAAAATTATTTCTTTGTTTCTCCTAAAAAAGTCCCTCAAAGCAACTATGTTAGTCGACTGGATTGTTCAGACTGGTCATGCTGTGGCATCGATCTCTACAAATGACTGGTGCAACGATAGGTAATGCATGGCATCAAATGGTGGACCAACAGCGCAAGCACATAAACAAAGCACATAAACATAAACACAGCACGCAAATGAGTTACAACAGTGTGAGCACTGTGACAAAGCTGGCACGTAAAATGTAAACATGCAGAACACTCAAAGGACAAAAAATATGATTGTGCGCACATATTAACCAGTCGCGAGCAGAAATAACAAAACCACGAGTTCTGACAGATTCCACACGCACGAGTTCTTATTTTTGTTGATACATTACTTGCCTTTTACTTTTAGGGATTAAAACTATAAACTGAAAACAGTCTGTTCATTTCGCTGTTGATCTATGAAGCAAACTGGTTGGCAGATTCGCAGATTTGAACACACGCGAAAAGTTCTTTTCTACACGCACGCGCAGCTGAAATCTTTGCGCACAAGTCAGGTTTGTTAGCCTCGGAAAACCCAGACAACTTCCGGCAAATTTAGATTTGCTCTGAAAGTTAGTCTGGCAAAGAGCTCATTCAAGCCCATTTCCAATCCGTCGAAATCGCGGCACCAATCAGAAACGTTGGGGCGGGCTTTACACGATGACGACAGCGCTGGGATTTTGAAGCAGATTTTGTAGCCTACATTACAAAGATGGATGCCGCCGTCGAACATCACTCGTTCGAATCAGCTATCGCGTTTGTTTTAAGCGATTTGAACGTTTCCTTTTAGTTAAAAACCGAGCAAAGAACAACACTCGGAGATGTTTCTCCGCCGCTCTCCATACGTCATCTCCTTCATCGCTCTGATTGGGTTTAGGTCTATCCGCGACGTCTGTTGGTGACGCCCCTCTGGAAATGATTTGTCTATGACGCTTTGCCAGACCATAACTCAGTTACAACTGAGAATGGTCTGGTTTTAACCAGGCTACAGGTTTGTCACTCAGGACCGGGTCCGGGGGTCCGGGGCCCAAACCTTCCTGTTAACAAATGCTATTGGCTGCTGGCCAAATCGCAGCTCCTCTTATTTTGATTGGCTGCTTGTATGCCGTGAATGCGGTCCTTCTGTTGCGATTGGCTGTTGTTGGCCCTCAAAATAGAAAGTGGGATCCGGGATGACAGACTGTAAGAAGGTAAGCTTTCTTTCCAATTTCAAACATGTGTTTATCTATGATGTTTATATGTAACGGGTATAAAATTTATACTCTTAA